AACCAAAAACTCGAACACCCAGCCAACTTCGAACCCTAATTTTCTTCAAAAAACCCAAGTACGAACTTTTCCAGTGAAATCTAAGAATTTTGCAAAATTTTGCATTTGTTTTGTTCGATTTGGAACCCTGAAACTCCATTTCCGGCAATGTGGCCTAGAATTAAGCCAAGCCATGGTTATGGGAATACTTTGTTTTGCAGATGAAAATGGAAAGGAAGGGGGTGGGGGTCGTTGGGGAAGATGACGGAGGGGAAGGGTGGGTTGGGATTCTTGTTTTTCTTTTATTTTTTTCATTTCTCTAAAGTCTTTTTTTAATTGTTAATAAATCTATGTGTCTCCATCTTATTGGTTACCCTGGCGTGTGAATTTCACGCATCTATTACATATGGATGCCTAAAAATTTTATGTCTAAATGACACAGTAAATACATGGTTAAAATGTTCAAATGAAACAAACTTTAGATGAAGTGTCTAAATGAAAGATCGTGCCAACTTTAAATGTCTCCGTATGTATTCGGCCTTTATTATTTGCTGACGACCTTTCTCTAATGGCTAGAGCTAATGCTAAATCTTGTCAGGCCATTAAGAATGGGCTTGACCAATTTTGCTCTCTATCAGGTCAAAGCATTAACACTACTAAGTCGAAGATACTCTTTTCAAAAAATTGCAACCACTCAATCATCAATGACATTACCACTTCTTTAGGTATTAAGAGAAGTAACAGTTTTGGCACATACCTTGGTTTCCTTATCCTTCACTATAGCCCAAAACCTAGGGATTACCAATTCCTCATTGATATGATGAGAACTAAACTTGCATCCTGGAAGATGAAGTTCTTTAGTTTGGTAGGAAGAATAACCCTTGCGACATCATGCCTTAATTTCATCTCAAACCATTACAAGCAATACACCCTCCTCCCAAGAAAAACCCTAAAAGAGATTGATAAAGTCCAAAGGAACTTCATATGGGGTAGTACTGTAGAGAAAAGGAAACTTCACTTAGTAAATTGGCCCACTATATGCCAACCCAAAAAATATGGTGGATTGGGAATCCATAATGCTCTAAATAAAAACCTTTGTACTCTCGCTAGTTTAAGTTGACGACTCCTTACAAATGCTCTAGTTCCTTGGACAAAGCTTATCATCTCCTACTATTGCAACATCTCATCTACGTTAAATCCTCCTTCCTTTGGAAAAACATTTGTAGAGGGTGGGACATCTGCTCCAAGGGCATCATATGGTCCCCCCACATCCGTTCCAATCTTAATCTATGGGAGGCCAATTGGATACCAAATATTGGTAACCTAAGGGACCTAGTTATAGGTCCTCCTTCAACTAAAGATTTCTCCACCAAAATTAGAGATATCTTTGATGGTACCAATTGGAACTTAAACTGTTTAACCTTCTCTCCCCCTCCGGATTTGATAGCTGCCATCTCCAAAACAAAAATCCGTCAAAAAGGCCCTTCAATGGAGTTAACTATTTGGTCTCTTACCACTAAAGGAGTCTTTACTACCACTTCTTGTTATACACTGCTCGAATTTCCTAATAACTCCAACTTAGACTTTGAGTGGATCTGAAAATTGGACTGCCCCACTAAAATCAGATATTTTTCTATGGCAATGCCTTCACAATCGAATCCCTTGCAGGAAGTACCTTTCACAGATTGGACTAAACATTGACCCTAATTGTCCAATCTGTAAAAACCCTATTGAAGATTCAATAAAACATATATTCCTTGATTGCAGAGCTGTTAGTAAACTCTGGAGCGACCTTCAAGGGAACTACCTTGTCAACAAAAATGGGAAACACTGGCTTCTCCAAATAAAGGACTTCAACTTTCCTATTAAACATGACTTCATAAACTGGAACAACTTCCTTCCCTTCATCATTTGGCATAACTGGGTTAATAGAAACAGTAATAACATCAATAACACTGCCAATCAAATTAGTGGTTACCAAATCTTGCAAAGGGCAGTGGAATTTAAACTACTCACGGAAAAAACCTCTATTAACCCTCCCAAATCTCTTATAAAAATCAACTGGTTCAAACCTCCTAGGGGTGGTACAAACTAAATGTGGATGACAGTTTTCATAGCTATAACAAAAATTGTAGTTTAGGCGGTGTTTTCAGAAATGCAACAGGTAGCTGGGTAGTTGGTTTTGCAAAACTATCACATGCAAATGGCTCACTAGCAGCTGAATTAAAAGCTCTACGAGAAGGTCTAAGAACAGCAAAGGAGTGAAATCTCTTCCCACTTGAGATTGAGACAGACTGCTCAGAGGTTATCTAGGCAATACAAGTCGGTAATAAATTATTTAGCAAAACTGTTAATGTTTGCAGGTTCTTAATGCACCAGCAGAGGGTTACTCTCCAGCACACTTTCAGACAGGGGAATAGGATTGCCCATCAACTAGCAAAATGGGGTCCTAGAAAGGGACAATCAAGATCTTGGAGTGGCAGGAGTAAGTAAAGCAAAGAAGTGTTGTAAAAAAGTTTTTGTTGTACCACCTTTTGATGTAATCGATTTTGTGGAAAGTGATAGACTTGAATCCCCTTCCCATGAAAAAACTTCTATGTAATGAAGCCTGCAAATTGCTAGCAAGCTTAGGAAACCAATGCACCATCCGAGATGCATGTTATGTCGACTATGTACTAGATGTTCCTTAGTTATTAATATATTTATTTCCTATTTGCTCAAAAAAAAAAAAATGACAACGTATTATGATTCTCCAATTTGGGCCACAACTTGTGTAACCGTAATAATCATATTAAATCAAATTACATTATTAACATGGAATTTGCTACTTACGCTAGTGGCCTGGTGGGTATAGTTTTGCTAGCTGCAAAATAGGAATACATAAGTTGTGAGCTACTTTACAATAATACTACTCTCCCTTGTTTACAATGTATCATTTTAGTTAAAGCAATTTGGTCCAATGTAACTGCCGTTTCAGAAGACTAATAAGGTATTAATTTTTTTTCTAATCTATTCAGACTCCAAGAAATGATCTGAAAAGTCCGAGCAGAGAGAGGGTAATTCGATAAGATATAAATAGTATTCTTATGATTAATGTTATAAAACAGTTTGATTAATTGCTTAAATGATGTATTTATTTGTAACGAAGAAAATCGATTCATTTCCTTGGATATAGTCCTATAACGGCTCTTCTAGTGCAAGTTGAAATGTCGGTTCAGTTTGATATTTTCTTAAAATTTAGTTAAGTTTATTTTAATTCGATTTTTTAGTTTTCGACCTTTTCATGGCAAATTTTTAATGTGATAATTAAGTTTGTGTTCATGGTAAACTTCTTAACCGTTCCCTATATTCCCTTTCCCTCAAACTAAGTAACAATAACAAGTATGAGAATATACAAATATAAAAATAAAAATAAAAATAAAAAAGATGGTTATTGTGGCAATTTAGAAAAAAAAGGAAAAAAGAAGAAGAAAGGGATCACAAAAATAAAAAGATGAAGAAGAAGGTTATTTTGGTCAAAGAGGAGGGGGCTGCACTACTTATGATAAACCTTGACACTAATCAAAGAGAGATTTTCACTCGGCCTCTGCGTTGCGCTTGTTGTGGCAGTTAGGGTTTTCTATACTACAGAACGGTAAGAAATCGTTTTCACTCACACTTACGTCTTCGATCCTAGTACATTTCTTGCGTATATTCTTCAGATCTGCTTACTAATAAACGCCTCGATTCACCATTTCTTGTCTTACGAACTTATTTTCTCTAATCGATGGTCAGAGAAGTATAAATCAGTATTTTGTCGAATTTTTTTGATGCACTTAGGATAGAGTTAATTTGTTACTAGTGAATTTGATTTGTTAGTTTCATGAACATTATATGTCTTGTTCCTATTCGGATGTGAATTGAAGTTTTTGGTTCTAATTAAGTAAATTGTTACTGAAAGTTAGGTTCTAAGAAGAGTTTGAAAATGTTTTCCACTTTTTTTTTTTTAAAGTATGTATTGGATGGAACCCATTCGCGTATACAATATAGTTCCAAAAATTAGCTCTTAGGAGTTATATGGCATCTGTAGGCATACACAGTTTCATTTCTCCGAAGCTCTTGATGAACTCTTTTCTTCCCTATCCCAAATAAATTGACTTGATTAATAGTTCTGCACCTAAGCTCTGGTTCATACTCCTTTTGTATCATCTTTTCAGAGTGTTATCGACTAATACTAGAGTGAGATCAATTTATTGAACTTTTTATACCTATTCTTTTGAGAAAATCTTAGCTCAACCAAGTAAGTGACTCTTGAAAAGCAGAATTTTTATTCTTCATGGGATGGAATGATGAATATATAACGTTAAATTCAAATTCAAGATGGCACGTTAATGAAGTTGGAATAAAAAATGTGGAAGGGCAAGGTTTAAATCCTAGCAAGAGTAAACAATGCTAGGTGATTTCTTCTCATCTGACTAAGCCTTGGTGGGAGGGAGTTACAATATACTTGCACCGGTGGGAAGGTGTAGATATCCGGTGAAATAGTCAAGGTGGCCAAACACTACCATCATGTGAAGATTCAAGAAAAAAGCTTATGTTAATTCCTTCATTTATTAAACCTTTGAGGTAGGTAACTTCAATTCTTTAGGAGTATACGAGGTGTCTATTAACCTTGTTAACTGTCTAGTAATAGTTTTTTCACTTGGAATTGATATCATTCTAAGATGAATTTAATCTAAGCCAGTTGTTGTGTCACATTGTCACACGATCTAATATGTAACAGTTCATATATTTGCTTTCAGGTTTAATTGAATGTGATCTAACTGTTAAGGTAATGAACGGGAAACATCTACTTAATACTCTCTAAAGGATGCATATTTCGTTTTAGGATGACCAGTAGAAGGGTGTAAGCTAAATATGAACACAATCCATGGAAAATGTTACATGCTCACTGTTCTAAACTGTTTTTTCTCAATGACCTGTTAGGCTGCACATCTACATTTCTCATCTCAGGTTGAGCAGTCCTGACTTTTTCTGTACAGGCAAGATGAGACCAATTTTCTGTGGTAACTTTGAGTTTGACACCAGACAGTCTGAGTTGGAAAGGCTTTTCAAAAGATATGGCAAGGTTGATAGGGTGGATATGAAATCTGGTAAACTTGTAACACACTTGTCAATTATCTTTTCCATGCTACTTAGCTTATTAACCTTATTATATTATTTTTCTTTTTTGAATATGACGACTTTTATGTGGGTGAGTTTAGTTTGTGGCGGTAACTTGTCACATACACTAACCTTTGGATGTGTGGTGTATCTGTCCTCCAAAATTATGCTTGATATTTTTCTTTAATAAAAATATACTTGATAAACTGGTTATCTTGTTAACTACTTGCATGTGAGGCCTTACCAATAGGTCTTGTTATTTTTTCCTGTCTATCTTAGAATATAATTCTTTGTAAAGCTTGTTCATGCATCAAGTAGTCATGCAGCAGGTGCTCGGGTATGATTTCGTTCTACTGGGCTAGTTGTGGATAACCAGATTAGTTCTGTATAATCCTTATTCTTTATGTCTTTCTTATTGTGGGCAATGACTACTGCGGCATCAAATGGTCTGCATGGTGTTATTTTGCCAATGGTACATCAATTATATACATGCAGCTAAACAAGGTTGTTTGCATTCCTAGTAAGGCACAGCTTGCCGTTACGGACTACCCAGAGTAAGTTTGAACAAGATTATGTGAAGTCTGTGCCTGAATAAAGTTGTAGCGAGCAACAATAAAGCTGATGGTGGTAAAGCCATTGACTCGTGAAATATGAACATGGTTATAGCACCCTCTGGCATGTCCTGATACTTTTGGTTATTACATTTTCTGGGTATGGTATGTGTAGTGTGGTTTCACTGCTCAAAGACTCAAATGACCACAAATTAGTCTGCTGGGATGCTGCATTCCTTCTTTACATTGTGGCTACGTTGGACGGAAGATCCAGTCAGCTCATTTGTGTCAACAACAGAAGTCTTGCTGAGTTTTGGCGGGATATTAGGATATGTTTACTGAAAAAGTATATTTTTTAAGTGTAGACCCCCATACTCAATTGATTCTTTGGCGCAGGATAACATTGCAAAGTCCATACAATCATTGCTGATGGACGGTGTCTATTTCGTTTCCTGACCGTGACAAGTTTCTCTTCTTGTTTCAAGAAGAGCTCTCCCATCCATCGTGGCATCACAATCACATATTTTCCTCAGTCACTATTGCCCTCCATTCCTCATGAATTTTGCCCAGCCTTCATTTTCAGACTTGTCACATTGCCGACCTTGAAGGCAGCAGTTTGAAAAGGAGAAGGCACACTTTTTACATTATCCCATCATGTGACATCCACCTTTCCCTGGCATCTTTAGTCCACCACTGAAGGTCTGTTGCTGATTTTAATGGTCAAAAGTTTCTAGATTTGACAGAGTGATTGTAATGCGTGAGGCGGTTTGCACATCTGCTAGATAAACTTATCTTTTCTAATCTTTTTGAGCATTTTAGAGTAATGGAACCTTTCATTGGAGGGTTCTTATTGCCAACTCAATTTTATTTAATCTTCATTCTATGTGTGATCGAACTTCAGGTTTTGCTTTTGTTTATATGGATGATGAAAGAGATGCAGAGGACGCTATTCAAGGGCTTGACCGAATAGATTTTGGCAGAAAGGGGCGCAGGCTTCGTGTTGAGTGGTCAAAGGTAATCCATTTTTGTGCCTGCAAATCTCTCTCTCCCTCCCTCTCTCTCTCTCTCTTGCCTATGCGAGGATTTTCCAGTTTATGCTGTGTTTTTATTTCTGTGCTGCAGGAAGAACGGAGCAGAAAGCCTGAGGTTTCTAGAAAATTTTCAAGTTTCAGAGTTTCCAAGACTTTGTTTGTCATAAATTTTGATCCATATAATACTAGGACAAGGGATCTGGAGAGGCACTTTGATCCACATGGAAAAATACTCAACATAAGGATCCGAAGGAATTTTGCATTTATTCAATTTGAATCACAGGAGGATGCCACTAGAGCCCTGGATGCTACCAATATGAGGTATATGCTTTCATCAATTTTTGTTGGAATTCGGCATGTAGTTTTTAAATGTCCACTTTAATTCTACCTAAGCGTTGGTTTTACTGCTTCTTATCTGTTTAAATGCAGTAAGCTGATGGATCGAGTTATTACTGTGGAGTATGCGATCAAAGACGATGATGATAAGAGAGATGGGTCTGGTCCCGGTAAAACCCATGATAGATCACCTAGGAGAGGTTATGACCGAGGTCGATCTCGTAGTCCTTATGGAAGAGATCGGCCAAGTCCTGACTATGGCCGTGGTCGAGATCGGCCAAGTCCTGACTATGGTCGTGGGAGAGATCGGCTAAGTCCTGACTATGGTCGTGGTAGAAATCAGTTAAGTCCTGACTACAGTCGCGGCAGAGATCGGCTAAATCCTGATTATGGTCGTGGCCCTAGCCCAAGTCCAAAGCATAGAGAAAGGAATTCTGAGAATGCCCGTGGCCATAGTCCAGCTGTAGGAAAGGAGAGAAATCCTGGTCATGGGAATGGTCGTACACCTAGCCCTCGTAGAGGAAGATCTGGTCCAGGAAATGGCCTCGTGAGCAGTCCTCTGGAAAGCAGAAGTCCTGGTTATGGTGATAGACCAAGTCCTAGTCCTCAACGGGAGAGGAGAAAGAAATATAGCCCGGATGGTTATAATCCTGGCAGCAGCCCAAGTTCTAAACCGGAACCTGTAGAAAGTCCTGTATGTGATGGGAGGGAAAGTTCAGAGCGATACAGGAGGTTTGCACCTTACAAGTTTTACCTTTTTTTCCCCCTCTTCTTGCATGTCTCTGCTTCATTACCTGCTCTTGAATTACGATATCATCCTAATAGTTATTGTACTTAAATCATTGTGTTGGTGATGCAGTCGTTCACCTCCATTGCGGGAAAGATCACGCTCCTAATTTGCTTGAAGCTGTTTTTGATCATTGGAGTAATGGTTATGTTGAAAATGGTGCTTGTAGAATTAGACCTTGAAGTTGCTGGAGCATCAAAGTTGGATGTGGCTTTGGTAACCACTGTAATGTACCTTCGGAAAATGGCTTTGTTCGTGGAAGTGATTTAGAACTGCTTCCATGTATTTTGACTGTTAACATCATACTCCGTTTCTATTTGATAATGAACCAGTAAGAGGTCATTCTTTGTTTGGTTATTTCACCCCAATCATGTTAATTCCCCTCCCAAATATGATGATCAATTTGCCAAGTTGTCTTGCATAACAAATTATTGTTAATAATCAACTAATTGTGGACATTTTTGTGTGGAGAATTCTTAGTTTTTATTACCAAAAACAAAATTAATGAGTTAGAATAGTGAGTTTTCAAAGAGCAGAATGGTTGCAGAGGATTCATATAGTTCCGAGATTGAAGCATAACAATTGCTGTTTGTGGGTATTGAAGCATAACAATTGATCACGTTTTTTATACAATGATGTGTTGTGAAAGAGCCGAGTTATTATTCTGTGAACCCTCTTTGGTAAAGCTATATCTTTGTAATTTTAGGGGGGGACAGGTGCTTAAATAGTTAATTCAGCCAAAACAGCTGTACTGTGGTTTTATTGGGGAGCAAATCTGTTCTTACGAGCTCAACTTTCATTATTCAGTATGGGTGAAAAGTTAAAACATTATAGTTTCCTTTGCTAATTTTAAAGTAGAGATGGATTGTCTTTGTTGGAATATCTGGAGCAACCAAAGAGAAACTGATCCTTAAGAGTGAGGACTAAAACGAAGAGGATAGCCCCATCTCCAAGGTGTCAACCTCAAGTAATTTTCTACGGTACTGTTTTCTGTCCATCGACAAGGACGGGCATGTACTTTGCTCGATGTTAACCATCACAATCCCTTTTGCAGGACCACTTTCTAATGTTTGCCAGAAGTAACAATTTTAAAAATATTGAGTCTTAATTATGATTTAGAGACTTAAAAGGCTTCAGACCATTCACATACAGTTGCATTCCACAATAGGAGAAAAGGTTTTCTTCGTTAAACGTATATTAATCGTACAATCATATGCGGATACAGTACCAGTTGGCCTATTATTGGCATCTCTTAATTTGTCTTAAAATATGCGGAATGTCGCGGCTCTCAGAAAGTAATCGTTACTCCTATTATTTAGCTAAGATGATGATGTCTAGCTTTATTGGTCAAATTTTGAGCTTAAATTGAGTCGAAATATCTACGTTCAAAGCTGCTATTTCAAGAATCAAATTAAGATGCCAACTTTGGCAGGAGAGATGAAAACGAATTCATGCCTTTAGAAGTAAATGGTAAATCCAACTAAACTAAACTTATACGCTTGACAAAGTCTCACCTTTTATGTGATTGATTGCCGTTAAAAAAGGAAAAAATTAAGAGGTGTTTTCTAGGCTTTAGATGCAGATATTAGGAGAAATTAATGAAGTTAGTTGATAGTAGAGCAAGAGTTATGCCAGCTGCATAATTGAGAGTCTACCTTTATTTTCTGCGTCAACCGAAAGCCTTGGCGAATTTGATACCCAAAGGCCAAAAAAGTTTCCAACTTTACCCAATCAGCCGACGGATGCGGTTTACATTACAAAAGCGACAAAACCGTAGAATTCCATGCACGCCATGCAAAGTCCAATTGCCTTTAGGGGACAGTGGTTTTGATAATCCTACAGCTTAGTCTTTGGTTTCAGACCCCATTTGTGTGGTTCTACGCAGAATACAAAATTGGATTGGCTCTTACTGCGGAAAAGACAATCCACAAGATTTTCCTAATCTTTGGCTTTTATGTTAAACAGGACGAATTAAGTCAAAAAGGTATTCTTAGTCGATTCTGTTAGTGTTTCCTAAGTGTTTTGTGTGCATGAGAACAAGATGTATACCTTGGTTGAATAAGCAAGTAATATAATTAACTATTGTATACCAGACTTCGCGGAACAGAATTGATTAATTACTAATAAATATCTTAAAACCGTTGGCCTATGTTTGATGAGAAAACAACAGCAACAACAACCCAGTGAAATCCCATTAGTGGGGTATGGGGAGGGTAGTGAGTGCGCAGACCTTACCCCTACCTCGAAGGGATAGAGAGGTAGACACATAAATCATAAGAAAATCATAAGAAAAATAGGAACACCATGAAATCCAGAAGAAAAATGCAAAACAAAACCGATAGCTAGTAAATAGGTCATGCACTAAAATACAACATTGACACTAGCTATCTTAGACAAAACCCCTACCTGACTAGTCTCACAGAGGTATTAGTAAGGCAAGGCTCAACTACCTGCTAACCTAAAATCTTAATGTTCGACCTCCACAACTTCCTATCAAGTGTCATATCCTCGGAAATCTGAAGCCTTGCCATATCATGTCTGATCACCTCTCCCCAATCTGAAACCTTAATGTTTGATGAGAAACTGTGGATTATATTTTAGAAGTTAAGATAAAGAATACTGTCATCGTTCGATTAAATCTTTGAATCTAAACAAGAATAAACCTTGTTATACGTCCACGACTTAGTCCTTTCCACAAGTTTACAACGCACATGCTATTGTTTCCTTGTTTCAAATAAAGAGTTAGTTACTCTATTAGCTACTAAACGACTCCCTGAAAATTCAATATTCATATTTAATTTCCTACTTTTTGCACGTGATATTCATTTCTAGTAGATGTGTGGAATGCGTGTTCAAGATTATTAGCTAACAATATCCAATTAATGTACATGGATTCATCAAAATCTTGTTATTAGCATTTAATCTTGGAACTGTTTCTTCAGCGGCGGGATAAGGTTAAAAGGATCGGAAATATTGAGAGATTCGATCTTTCACAGCTTTCTCTGTTATCGTTTGTCTTTTTGATGTGGCATTGTTATCACATTGAGCTGGAGATAAGGGTTATCTTGAAAAAGAACATAAAGCATAAATCTCTTCCCTTTTTCAAAATTTTCTTCGTTTAGCTTTGAGTAAGATTTCGATGAGCTAGCAAGGTTTCTCGTTGTTTTTTCATCCTCATATATATATTTGGCTGAGGTTTAATAACTTTAAGAACATAGTCAGAGCAAAAGCCTCAAGGGGAGCCTTGGAGCAATGATAAAGTTATCTCGACGTGACCTATATGATACAGATTCAAGCCGTGGAAACAGTCACTAATGTTTGCATTAGGGTAGGCTGTCTACATCATTATACCCTTGGGATGCGGCCTTAATTCTCCGAACCCCGCGTAACATGAGATACTTACTTTGCGGAGTGGACTGCCATTTAGTCGTACCAAGAGCTTCACACCTAAATCTAGAATGTTGAAATTAAGAAAAGGAATTTTTATGCATGATTGGGTTCACCTCTTTTGTTTTTTAGCCTAAAACAATGCATGTTTAGTTAGTGCCTTTGTGGGGTTGTTGCCTCTGCGTATTATAACTGACATATACTCTTATTTGACTTGGATCATAGAATTTGAATTGGACTGTTTCATGATATAATTAAATCTTAGGTCAGTGACCAGCATTTCAATTTTCAAGTCTTCATTTTCTAGAATTCGGCAGTGTTTGTCATTGATGCCATTTTTACTAGTTTTTCTTTTTCCACATCATTATTAGATATATAAAAATTCCTTTAACGGGTCGGGTCCGTTGCGGCGAATTCCGAATGTGTTGAGTAAAAATTGGCCTTTTGAGATCAATACCATCTCTCTTAATATTTTTAAGTTCATCCCCTTTAATTTTTTAATAAACCCATTTACAACATTCTTATACTTTTGTCAATAGTAATAGAAAATTGTGCGATATTGGAGGAGAAACGTGGAATAAAAATATAATACTAATACTTTGAATGTTCCAAGTGGTACACACAACTTTATGACATCATAAAAAATGTGTCATGGGTGATCAAAGGCATGCCGACTAAAATTTTTGAAATACAAAAGAGAGCGCCAATGTTAGCCACATCACATGAATGACTAATTCTTTGTTTTATATTAATGTGAACTCATATAATATCGTCGAATAAAGTTTTATGAACGGAACTCTATGGTCTAAGAGTATATAACGATCCTTAAAGTAACCCCACTTTCATTGTTAATGAGTATGAGAAAATTCCACACGTTTTTGTTTCCTTCTCTGTTTTTGTCCCACTAATTTTCTACTCGTTTTTGCCCGTGTGACCAGGGCACTGCCACTGCCACTATCTATATTTGGACTAACTGGAATTGCCCCAACACTCTGCTCTGACTCTTAGATAAATAGACAATCCGTTTAACAATAACCTCCGTCGGGGTGTGAACAAGTAGAAAGGAGATAAGATTAGGATACTCTTAATGATGTGAGGCTTTTTGGGAAAAGCCGTGCGGGCTTGACCCAAAGCGGATAATATCGTCACGCCATGTTAAGAGTATCTTTGGGCTGTTTTAGCCCAACAACTGGTATCAAAGCCAATGTTTTTGGCGAAACGAGTATGAAGATGGCGAAGTAGTGACGTAAGGCACGGCTTAGTGCCTTTGCTCGTCTATTGGCCGGTTCACTACCTTTACCCATAGCTTCAAAGACGCATACATAACGTCTCTATTGGGCTTCAGTGACCGTAAATACTCGAATCATGTGGGTGACATACAATTAATCTCCAAATTAGCCCATAAACAGTGATGAGTCATGGAGAACTTAGTTCAAGGGGAGATTGTTGGTCTTATATGGAAAGTAAAAAGGAAAAACAAATTCTACTTATAAGGAGTTGAATACTCTTAATGGTGTGAGACCTTTTGGGAAAAAGCACGCGGGTTTGATCCAAAGCGGACAATATCACACCATGTTAAGAGTATTTTTGGATAATTTTAGCCTAGTATGCGATGCATTTTGAATAAGAAAAAGAGTTAGTTTCAAGTGAACAACACTCGTCTGAAAATATAGTTCATTTCTTTACAAAATGACATCAAACTTAAAACAAAAACGGCATGAAGAAACAACTTAGTCGACATTTTTGGTGTTTGCTAGGACGAAGGCCTCCCACTTGGCATTATTTCCCTGTAGCAACAATGACTAGTATGGCCGTACATGCAGTGTTGTATTAAGACTGCCATTAAGGAATTCCCATTTCTAGATTCCAAATGCTGACTTTAGTTTTCTTATTCAGACCTCCATTCCATTCTGCTATACTACCAATTATGGGTAACTAGGCCGAGTTGGTTCGGATTTGACAATTACCAAACCAAATCAATTGTGTCGGATTATTAAATCTAAAGATCAAACCAAACCAATAA